GAGATGTCCAAGGAGCTATAGGGAGTTTTCTTCACTCTGTCCCCTCTTTTACTCTTATTTTATTAAGCATTGGGGATAATGCTTATCTTTATTCGATGGGGTGGAGTTTATTGATTATATTTGATACATCCTGAGACATTTGTCCTGTAATAACTTGATATTATTTTCTCTTTTCTTATTATGTATATATTCTCTCTCTTTCTTTCATTATGTATATTCATTCTATCTTCAGTAGTTTTTGCTTATTAGCTTCTTTATTTTTGTTTCTTTATTAGTTCTTTGTTTGATTTAGTAGCTTCTTTGTTCGATTTAATAGCTTCTTGTTATGTTTTAGTAGATAATAAATATTTGGTTTTCTTAATGCCATGGTTATTTCCAAAGGTAGTTGTTGTGTGAACCGTGCGACTCGTCCCAACGATGGATGGCGTGACAACCTTCTTAAGGGAATGAGTCCGTTTTGTGTTTAGGTAATAATAGTAGTAGTAATGAATAAAAATACCTAACTAATTCATGTTCGAAGAGTCAACCATGCTTTAATTGGAACCAACACACTTAATTACGTGCTTATGGTTAGATATAAGGTTTTTGAAAGAAATCGCTCTAGTTAGTGACCTTGTGACTCTTGTGTTGACTTTGGCAAATATAGAGTGGTTTAATTAGACCATAGTGATATTTAAACTTGAATGTGGTCATTGTGGGCCCTTGACTCTATCCTCTTTTACAATCCGGTTGCGAGAGGAGTGAGATGAATTGTTCCTAGTCCAAGTAACCGTGCGAAAGGTCTAGAACTTGCCCCGAATGTGTTTCAAGGCGAAATCCTAAGTTTTGCTTTGTTTGAGAAGTGATTGTAGGCTCTCCTTGGCCCGCTTGAGTTTTTTATTGCCAACCAATGTCATTATCCCTAGTCAACCCCTTTGAGCTTTTAGCCTTTCTCATTTGAAAACCATGTTACAAGCCTTTACCCGTTTTGTCGTGACCCTCTCTTGGCACTCGAGCGTTCCTTAACACTCTTGTGAAATAAATGGCTCAAAAAGTAAGTTTGGAGGAGAGACAAGGAACTTGATAAAGGTATCAAGGCACAAAAAGAGAAAAGAAATGATGAGAAGAAAAGGTAAGAAAAGAAAAGAACAAAAGAAAAATGCAAAAAATGAATAAGTGAAAGGGTTGAAGAGATTCAAAGAGAGGTAATGATCCCAAACATGGAGAAATCAAAAGGGGAAAAAATTATGAAATGATCAAGAAAGAGTGATGCTAAGTCTCTCTAATCCCCAATGAAAAGAAAGGGCCTCTAAGAATTGGCAAAGTATGAGCCGAGAAATGAAAGATGGCGTGCTTAAGGAAAGGTGTAACCACTTACCCATACAGTATCCTACCATAACCCAAAAGCCTTCATTACATCCCGAAAGAAGTCCTACTTGATTTCAAATTGAGTGAGCTTACATTAGTGGCGATCTACATGAGGGGTAAGCCTATGGTATTTGAAGGCGTACTTGTGACATTCTCTTGAGAGAGATGAGTGAACCTTTCATAAATCTTTGGATTTAGTGCTAAATTTCTTAAGTGAGCTAGGTAAATGAAATGTAGAGGAAGAGTTAGGAGTCCACCATGACCTGCATGATAGAGCAAGAGTCCTTGATGAGTAAATTCAATTCTTGAAGCTCAAATGTCATATTAGAACTACATGTGCATGAAGGTTTAACTCGTAACCTTATTGATAATACATGAGTAGTGTGGGTAATTGTTAGTCCCAATTGATGTGTGGATAGTTCACCTTTGACTCATTGTAATGACCCTTAAATTTTGGAGGTGAGAACTAATTTATTTGCTTGAGGACAAACAAAGACTTAAGTTTGGGGGAGTTGATAAGTGGGGATTTTGACTGCTTATTAGCACCTTTTAGCTTTTGTTTTAGTCCAAAAATATTGAATTGTGTTCCCGAAACTAATAAAATTGTGCAAATTGCAGGAATGCTGGAATTTTGGTCTCCCGATATAAAATCCGACTAAAAAGGAGTGTTCCGAAGCACAAGGCAATAAAGGGCACAAAAGTACAAATATGCGGTCCGCAGAAGAAATTCTGCGGCCGCAAAAGAAATTGTGGACCGCAGAATTCCATCTACGGCCACAAACCAAGAAGGAAAATCTAGCAGAACTTTCAGCAATGTGCAGCCGCAAATAAATTGTGCGGCCGCAGAACTGGGCTAAGAGTCAAAGATCAGAGAGTATGCAAAAAAACCAAGTCCAGGAGCCTTTTACTAAGGTTGTGACCCAACCCTAGTGTGTAAACCTTATAGGTGATTACTTTTATGCTTGTTTATGATTGGATATTAATTATTTAGCTTAGTTCATGCTTCAATTTTAGAATTAATGGTTTCAAACATTGATTCATGCCTATATGACTTAGTTTCTACTTGAGAAAGAGAGACCTAGTCTAGGATAACTTAGCTAACAAGGAATTGGGTTAATTGAGAGATTGATTTGCCTAATTAAAGGGTTCAAACTAGAGATAGTAAGAATCCGACTTGAGATCATATTAACTATTTTGTTTGATACCCATTTGGATTAGAGAAAGCCAAATTGGGCAAAATCACTCTCTGACCGAGAGGTATTGAGTGGGTAACGTAGGGTTTAGAGCTAGAATATACCCTAATCAACAAAATAAGTATAAACGTCTTTATCCCATTAGGCAAACACCTAGGTTATGGTCACAACCCTAGGCCTTTAATCCAACTGGAAAAACCTCAAAAATATTTATTTCTAGTCTATTCTCTTTAGTTTGCATTCATTAGAGTAACAGTAGAAGTAGAAAATAAAAAATCTGTTGTGGAAGTGCAATCTAGATAACCCATTTGCTTACGTCAAATATATATTCCTAATACCCCTCATAACTCACAATGGATTCAACCCCGACTCCTAGTTGGGTAATTATTATTGTATACAACCATATCATATCTTGTATTGAAATGTGTTGTGGAAGTCATCAGTCAACATATCCACAATGACTCATACCACGTCTAACTTCTTCTGAGTTCGTGGGAGTCCAACAACAAAATTCATAGTGATATGCTCCCACTTCCGCTCAGGAATCTCTAACTTCTGAAGCAAACCACAAGGTCTTTGATGCTCGTACTTTACTTGCTGACAATTTAGACACCGAGCTACATATGCAACTATATCCTTCTTCATCCTCCTCTACTAATAATATTGTCGCAAGTCTTGATACATCTTAGCGGCGCCCGGATGAATAGAATACCGGAAATTGTGGGCCTCCTCAAGAATCAACTCACGAAGTCCATCCACATTGGGTACACAAATACGACCATGCATCCTCAAAATAACGTGAAGTTACTAATGTTCAAAATAATTGACTTTTAGTGATTTATTAAAGGTAATTTTAATTGATTTTAAAGTCCTAAATTTTAAGTACATAATCAAAATAAGAAAATATTTAATAATCAAATCTCAGTAGATTTACAAGTGCTAAACTTTAGATAATTTTAAATTACAATTTTATTTAATGTTAAGTTTATTTTTAAAGGATAAAAAATACGAATAATATTTTATTAAAGGCCTTTATATTTTTAATATAATATAGATTTTACAAGTCACTCTACCGGATTTGTGTGAAAATTTCGGCCAACATATCAAAAGTTCATGTGGAATAAATAAAATGCCACATCAAATTGTCTGCCAGAAGTGCCACACAAATCTAGTGGAGTTAGGGGTGGTCGCAAATCCGAAATTCAAGCCAAAATTCAAATTTATTTGATTTTTAAAATTTTTGGATTTCAGATTGGATAATGGATTTGGTACTTTAGATTTTTGGATATCCAAAAATCTAAAAATTTTATACTTTATATTTAGTCCAATATCTATATGCCAGTAGTAATAAGTTCAACACCCTACCCATTAGATATTATCTCATATATTCAATATAAATTACTAAGTTACTATCATAATACTTTCTATTTGGATATGGTTTTACTATAGCTACTTCTTATCAACCGTATAAATGTCTCTGTTGCATTTTCTTCATAATAATTTCATTACTCGAATATTTTGTTTGGATGATTGCGGTGAGAATGAGGAACTTTTCAGGCAATTTAACATGAGTAGTTCATCAGGATATTCATTTTTGTAAAAAGAAAAAATATATCATACGAACTTAGTCGAGTCTTCAAATCACACCCAACAACACTAAAAACACGAATCACACATAGATTCAAACCTAATGAACTTTGAAACTTTCAATTTCTACAAACGACACAGGAATCTATCAAATCAAGTCCGATTGACCTCAAATTTTGCATGCAAGTCATAAATTATATAACGGAGCTGTGAAAATTATCAGAACTGGATTCCGACCTGAAATCAAAAAGTCAATTCCCCGGTCAAACTTCCAAACTTTAAATTCCTATTTTAGCCATTTCAAGCCTAATTTCACTACGGACTTTCAAATAAAAATTCGATCACGCTCCTAAATCCAAAATCACCATACATAGCTGTTGGAATCATCAAAATTCTATTCAGGGGTCGTTTGCACATAATTCGACATCTGGTCACTATTTGAACTTAAACTTTCTATTTTTCATCAAAATTCCATATCTCGGGCTAGGGACCTCGGAATTTGATTCCGGGCATACGCTCAAGTCCCAAATCACGATACGGACCTACCGGGACTATCAAAATACTGATTCGAGTCCTTTTACTCAAAATGTTGACCAAAGTCAACTCAGTTGGGTTTTAAAGTTCTAATTCACATTTTAATCTATTTTTCACATAAAAGCTTTTCGGAAAATTTTACGGACTGTGCACGCAAGTCGAGTAATGATAAATAGTGCTTTTCAAGGTCTTAGAATACAGAATTAATTATTAACTTTAAAGATGACATTTTGGGTCATCACATAAACTTTGACTAGTGTTTAAATGGGGAAATTAATACTCATTATCAAGACTCAATATGTTCAAGATATACTCATTATCAAGACTCAATATGTTCAAGATAAAACATTATGCCTACTTCTCTCAATGAATACCTCAATTCAAACCAAGATCTACCCTTATAAAAAAACACATCTTGGCTGCAGATCTGAGGTTGGTTAATTTGTCATCACTTTTTATTTTCTCCAAAAAATATTGATTTATTTTCTTGGTTCAGGACATAATTTGTTTCCTTTTTTTTTTGTTCTAATTCTTTGGTGTGAGTTACTGATTTTTGTATGTTTTAGATTTTATATAATGGAATTAGGTTATGATATTAGAATTCAATTTGTTTATTTGTAGCAAGATTCAATTTTTGTTAGATGAAGTATCCAAAACTTCTTCAAAAATTTCCATGTATTATTTGTGCCTTAATTTATTCTTCTTCTATTTTGTTTAGTTGATATTCTTTGTTATGATTATCCGAACAAATTTTGATTTAGATCTTAAATAATGGATTTTGGGTTGTTTTACTAGAAATCAAACCATTTTTCTTTGGTTAGTATCAAGATTTAATTTTTAATGGTTTTACAAATTATATTTTTCCTCTAAATTTTCCAATCTTTGCTATTGTTTCGGAACTGATAGTGCAGACTTATGGCTTAAATTGTAGCCCAAAACTGCAGATGTTTTGCAGCCAGAACAGTGCTGAAATTTTGTTTCATTTGTGCAGACAGGTTCAGCTTAAAACAGTCCCCGAACCTTGGTGAAAACTGGAACCAGAACTACAGGTTTGCTGTTAAATTGTTGATCACACACAGTTGATTTTGGACGGTTAAAAAAACTGGGCAGCAATCGGTTAAACTTTTGTTTTGATTAAGGTTGAAGCATTGGATAAATGTCCGCAGGAGTAGTAACAAAATTACTTTTGTGTCTTTTCCATTTGAAAAAAACTCCGAACCTTTGTTCAACAAATATAACGAAACCAAGTAGTTTTTTTTCTTAAACACACATAGTCAAACTAAACAAGTCTTGTTCATCTGGCTTCACATTTCAGCAGCTGAGCAGCCCTAGCAGCAGCCTGAGCACAGTTTGCAGCATCCCTTTGCCTTTTGAGGACACAATCATTCTTTAGGTGATTGGTAAGCTGGGTATGGCTTGGCATTGTGTGAACTTGACTTCTTTTTTCTCATGCTTGATTTGTTTATGTCCTAGTGCCATGATCTGTAAATCAAAACTTTGTCATAGTGTTTTTCAAGGTTTATTAGAAGTTATAGAATGATATCAAAGGTTGAAAACTTGGAATAGGTCATACAAGACTATATTTTTCTTTCCCGTCTTTTTTATATATTATGAGATCGATAATCAAAACTGAAATGCAAGAAAAGATCTGAAATAACTAAAGCTATAGTAGAAGCTAAGAGGACTATATATTCAAGAAATCTTAATAATACGATTCAACTCTAAGAACAATAAATATGGACAAGTCTCTGTAAGAGGACTATATATCCAAGAAATCTTAATAATATGATTCAACTCTAAGAACAATAAATATGGACAAGTCTCTATAAGAGGACTATATATCCAATAAATTTTAATAATACGGTAAAAAAAAAAAGACCCAAAACACAGCTGAAACCAGCTGTAAACAGTCCCAAAAAAAACCGATTCAAATCCAGCTAAAACCTACGCTAATTACCACTTAAAGCAGGCCCTCACACGCCTCAAAAATGCTGCTTAAACGGCACCAAAAACGACCCCCATAACAGCCGCGAACCTGCCCCTTCTTCCATAAGAAAACACCCCAAAACCACCCCGGAAACGGCCCAAAATAGCCAGTAATAAAAGATTTGAAATAACTAAAGCTACAGTAAGAGGAATTTATATCCAAGAAATCTTAATAATATGATTCAACTCTAAGAACAATAAATATGGACAAGTCTCTGTAAGAGGACTATATCCAAGATCTTAATAATACGATTCCACTCTAAGAACAATAAATATGGTCCAATTCATGTTCCCAACAAGGAGTAATCTCACAAGTAAAAATAATAAAAAATGTTAGTCACACTAGATTTGAGTACATTTTGATCTATCAATATGCTATAATAGTATGAAGTTGGTTTTCAATACCTGCTTTTTCGGTTACAAGAATGTAATCTTATTTAAATGTATGCAAATGTTAGATAGCCTAAATTTAAAAAATACATAATTAAAAATATATTAAAATAATAAAATCAGTTGTTTACCTCTTTTCAGCTACTCTTTAACTTGTTCTCTATTGACACTAAATTATGGTTTTGATTGTTTTCAAATAAAACCAAAAAAATACCTCTCTTCCCCTTAGTCATTCTTTTTTCTATCTACAGAAAGAATCAACTATAGCTATAAATACTGAGGCAGAGTAGAAACTCTCTTGGAGCAGTTTAGTTATGTTTAAACATGTAATTCAAGAGTTTATTAGGGTCCATGAGATGTAGGCTGGCAAGGAAGTTAAATAGATTGGACTTAGGTTATACCTGATGGTTCCAAGCTAACCATCTCAATATTTATAGGTATTTATATAATATCTTTAGTATGATTTTTGGCATTTACAATTCATTTATACCTTTAGATTAGCTTGTATGAAAGTGTAATTACAAATATGTTTTGATATAAAATATTTTACGAATTCTCTGAATAGATGGATATTAACTTAAGCCTAAATTTCTTCAACCAGGGTGAATGATAAAAACAAATGCCCTCAAATTCGCACCACACTCAACCTCAAGTTATTGCTAACCCTGATCCATAGCTACTTAACTTGCTCCTCCCCATCTGTTCTATAGGAATTCCTAACGATGTTAAAGAAGAAAAAATATGAAATAAAGCTCACCCTTTCTTTGATAGCTAAATTGTATATTTCTCTTTTCCTCGATCTTCGTTAACTTTTTTATTACTGTATCTACAGGAGAAACAAGATAATTAATAACGCGGACGCTGCATGTTGATTTCACCTTAAGATTAGATTTGAATCTAAGAACCATGAGATTTCTCATAATAGCCGGGCAGTTCGGGTGCACTAAGCTCTTGTTATGCGCGTGATCCGGGGAAGGACCGGACTACAACGGTCTATTATACGCAGGAGCGGCTCAAGCTCATATGTGGCCTAAAGCCAAAGTTTAATATGAGGCCTAATTTTTTTTTAAAAGATTATAATATATATTTATGTTTGAAGTCTATTCTTCTAACCTTTTGAAATGCAAAGTTGTTAATATTATTTTTATAATCGATCTCTTCCAAAATATCCCTTTTTTTTAAGGAAAACACGGAGATAATATTACTAAACAAAAGATTACATAGTCATTACATAGTCCCTGAGGACGTTACCATTGCCTAACTTGGCAAGGCTATTACAAACACCGGAAAGAAGATACTTAGTACTATTACTAATTCCATGCTTGTCCTTGGCTAATTGAGGATCAACAAAAAGGGTTGGACGAGCGTGGTAAAAATATTTAGTAGGGATAAAATTTCACTGCTTCCTTCGCCAGGAGGTGCACGACTACATTTCTTTCTCTGAAGTTATGTCTCAGAGTTGGGAGTTTCAACTGGTGCATTAACAACCTGCATTCAAATATAATGTTAGAAAGGATTTGGTTGTTTTCATAAAGGAGATTGATGATCTCCGTTGAGTATGTTTCTATCTCGATTTTGAGGAACTTCATTTCCTTTGCAATCTTTAAACCCTCATGCAGAGCCATTAACTCAGCTTGTATGGCTGATGCTGCATGACCTGATTTATGGAAACCGACGATCCAAACTCCATTGTTGTTTCTAAATACTCCACCTAGTCCAGCTTCTAAAGTGGTTTTTGAAAAGGCTCCATCAATATTTAACTTAACAGGGTTTTTCCCACTTGATCTCAATCATGATCTTCTTTACCTTGAAAGGATTTTTTTTTGTGAAGAAGTTAAATTCCCTAGCTTGTTGAATAACTTTAGCGGCATGAAGATCAAGGTCTAGGTTGTTAAAGTTGTTGTTGTTCCTATTTTACCAAATGTTCCGGAGAGAGAAAGGAAAAATGGTCTTCCAGTTTGTAGAATGGCTACTATTCTGAATAAATAAATCTTTTAGGTTGATCAGCTAGTGAGGGTTATTCTCGATAGGTTGGATTGGAATACCTATACTGTTCCAAAATCGCCTAGTAACTGGGATGTGTATAAAAATATGTTGCATGTCTTCCACATTTTCTCTACAAACCGTACAGGTGGCATCAATATTAATGCTAATATGGGCTAGTAACGCTCGGCATGATATACGGTTATGCATACATTGTCAAAGGAAAATTTTGATTTTGTTGGGACAGTGGAGGTCCCAAATCTAGTTAAGATGAAAATTGAAGTGTTATTGGGATTTAAGAGGTTGTAACAGGACTTGATAGTAAATAAATCATTTGTATTAGGGTTCCAACTCATGATGTCCCTTTTTAGGACCTTATTAGGTATTGGCGTTGAGGCAATATTGTTTATAATATTAGAAGGCAATTCAAAAGAGATATGAGAGACATCCCATTTGCCTTACTTAATAATATTTTTTATGGAAAGGTTTTGGTCATCCTTACTAAGAGGGCCATATATGGAGTTTCTAACGGTGTTGGAATTGTATATCCATTTGGAGGTCCAAATATTAATTTTGGAATCAATGTAGGAATGACATAAAGTGCCTTCATTACAAATTTTCCAACTTTTTAGAATAATCTTCCAAATGAAAGACGTGTTAATAATATACCTTTTTCTGGCATATTTGTGAGAAATAAGTTGAGCCCATGGGGTAGTAGGATTTTGCAAGAGTCTCCAAGTGAGGCTTGTTAATAGGACGATGTTTTTTGGAAGCAGCTGTGCGTATGCCAAGACCACCCTCAACTTTATTTTTCGTGACCATTTACCAGCTCACCAAGTATAATTTCTTAAAAGAGTTGGTAGATCCCCAAATGAAATCTCTTTGGATTTTATCAAATTGTTTAAGTATTTTTACTGGAAGTGAATTGTATTGCATGGAGTGGGTGGGAATAGCACTTAAGGTACTTGTGGCCAAAGTTGTTCTTCCAGCCATATTTAGGAAGGAACATTTTCAATGAGACAGTCTATTACGCAATTTGTCTAATAAAAATTGAAAATCTCTAGGTTTTGGATTGTGGTTTAAAATTGGGAAGCCAAGATATTTCCCAAATTCATGACTCAATTTTATACCAAAAAGGTTTGTGAAATAAGAAAAAATTGAAGGGGCAATTTTTTGAGAAGATGATTTTGTATTTTAGGTAATTAATGGAAAGTCTCGATTCTTGGCAGAAAAGGTCCATACAAGATTTTATGCATTGATCAGTTTTTTGTTAGCCTTTCCCATTAGTGTAATATCATCCGCAAATAGAACATGAGAGAAGGAGGGACCTTTATGGTTGGTTTTAATCGGATCCCAATACAAAATGTCTACTTGATGATTAATGAGTCTTGAAAGTAACTCAAGGCAAAGGATGAAAATATAGGGAGATAATGGGTCTCCTTGGCGAATGCCCCGACTAGGACTAAAGAAATCTGGTCTGGTACCATTTACTAGGATCCTCATTGAGCTAGTGCTAATATAATGCATAATTAATTTAGAAATATTTGGAAGAAATTTGAAATATCTTAGAGTTCTATAAACAAAAGACCATTCAAGTCTATCAAAAGACTTTTCTAGGTCTATCTTAATTAACATGTCAAAATTTAATTTTTTTTTGAACTACGGAGATTATTCATTATTTTCTGGATAATAATAGCGTTATCACTAGCTCTTATATTTTTAATGAAGCTGGATTGAAGAGTACTAATAAGATATGGAAGGAAAGGCTTCACCCTATTGGCGATGATTTTTGTGATAATTTTATAGGATGTATTACAAAGACCAATAGGCCTAAAGTTTTTGAGGTTGTTTGCATTAGCAAATTTAGGAATGAGGCATATAAAGGTTTCATTAGTACCAGTAGGCAATACTTGGGTTTCAAACATATTATGGCAGTAATTTATGACAGAATTATCAATAACGTGCCAATATTTTTGATAGAAAAAAGGATGTATTCCATCTGGACCTGGGGCTTTGAAGAAGAAAATAGCC